AGTACTGTTTAAGGAAATATTAATTTACACAAGGTAAATTTAATTTAGACTATTTTTAGAAGTGATTTTAGGTTACATAAAAAACGAATTGAAGGGGAAAAGTGGGGTAAAGACAAAAAATTTTTTGCAAAGAGTTTAAAAAGAAGTTAGAATTATTTTTGTTGTAACTCAGTCAATATTAGGTCAAAACTCTTCATTTAGGGCTTGTTTTGACCGGAATGGTGAGCTCTACACCTTTCTCTTAATAGTCAAGAGAGGTTGTGAAGTCAGTTTCAAGAAAAGAGCAAAAGTTTAGTTTGAGAAAACTAAAGGACGTTTTGTAGTTTAAAACTACGAGTTTTTAAACTAAGCCTTGAAACTTCTATAGTATATGTAAAATTTAGAGAGAAGCAATTTTACTTAAGATGCAGAGGTCTGTTTTCTTAATAAATTATTGTGATATTGGCAGTTTTATGATGCACAAAGTTTTATTTAAGTTTGTGTAAAGGATTTACAGAGAGAGGTTTACTTTTTTAATATATACTATATATTTAATTTTTATTATTTATAGTTATATAAGTCTGCACTAGAAAGAAATAAACTTAGTTATTCAGCTTTTATTGCTGAAATTGGAGAACACTATTATTCAAATCAACTTATTTTTACTGATGAATCTTATAAAGATAATTATACATTATCTAGAATGTATGGATATTCGAATAAAAATATTTGAGCACATAAAAAAGTAGTTTTTATATGTGGCAAATGTTGTACTATATCATCAGCTTTATCATTAGCTGGAATTATTGCTGTTAAAATTATTGAAGGAAGCTGTATTATAGAGCAATTTGAATATTTATTATAAATGAAGTAGTAAAATTTTATATTATTTATTTTTATAATGTTTTTTAATGAATGTTATTTACCGCCAGTAGTAGTATTGTCAGGATATTATATATCAAAAATCTATTAGCTAACTCATATTAAAGATATTAAATAAAAATATTAAGAATCCAAAAAATCTAACCCTAACTAAAGTTTTAACCTTTATATCTAACTGTAAACTTGTTTTAAAATCAATACTCTATTGATAGAAACAATAAGAGATGATAGTATTACTACTGGCAATAAATACTAAAATTGTTTTTTATTTATTTTTTACATATCTAAATTTCACAGATAAATACTTATCTAAAAGATAATAGTGTTTTAATATTAGACAATGCTTAAATTCATAATAGTAAACCTTTAATTAAAATTATTGAGACAATGGATGCTAAAGTTCTTTTTCTTCTCTCATATTTACCAGACATCAATCTGATAGAATTAGCATTTTCTTTTATTAAAGGATATCTTAAGCGAAATAAAGAATTTGTTGAAATGTCAGCTGATCCAATATATCCAATTTAAATAACATGTGCTGAAATTTCACCAAATATAGCTTATAAATTTTTTTATAAATCTATTTATATTTAGAATATTACAATAAATATCTTATAATTCGCAAATAATGTAATTAAATTAGATATATAGTAAAGTTGCTTATTATATTTTAAAATAATCTATTCTATAAGATATATTTGCAAAATAAATTTTATTATATACAAGTATTAGTTTGGTTAGCATTAATATTTTTTTTGCCTATTGTATGAATATTGCAAAAGTAGCAACCACTCTGGAGTCAAGAATATAGGCTATATAAATAGCAACACACATTAAGGCAAGACCAACTTGATTTGACAGTTTACATTACAACCTTTTTCAAAGAAAGAAAGAAGAGAGAAAAATAAAACGTCTACATAGTAAATTTTATTAAAATTTTTTTCAATCAGAAATTATTAGCTTGGCCTTGCTTGTCTTTTATGTTTGCTCATTTTCTCTCTTAATTTCTCCTGGTATCAGTTCTCAGCCAAAATCATATATGTATATCTCCAAAATTTTTTTACTAAGAGAAAGAGGGAGGTCAGAATAGGGTAATATAAACTATCAAATTAAATTGGTCTGGCCTAAACTACTATAACTAAACACTATCTAATCTAAATATCTAATAGTAGCTGTCTACAATTGAGGTGTAGGTGAGATTTTGGTTTAAGTAATTAGGAAAATTAGGTTAAAATCTTTCAATATAGATTCATGGGCTTATATTAGATTTTAATAACACTAGCAATTACTTTTATACTATTAATCTATACTATCTATCGAAGAGAAAGAATTCCAAAAGATAAGCATCTAATAGCTAACCAAGTCAGTCTTTATTCAAAGCAAGAGATAAGCCTTTAATTAATATTGAATATATAAGGACTGTAACTGCCATGTTATTTATAAATTAACTATGTTATCTATTAAGTATGTTGAATATATTTATTATGTATATTTAATATGTTTACTAGGTGCTATATATATTATTTAATAAATGTGCCAAATCTACCAAATTCACTAAACCAAATATGTATACACCCAATCTATATATTGTGAAAAATTTATTCCAAGCCACAATCTACCCTTTCACAATGTATGATGCATTCAGGTAAAAAACGAAATACCAGCACTATTAGCATCATTATAAGCACTAGTATTAATGATAATGCTAGTATCGATACCTATATAAGTTCCTATTTAAGTCATGCTTATACTCAGATTACACCTATATCTTAAATTTTTTTTTATGCTGGTATGTACTAGGTTTGTAGAACTCTAATTACGAATATTAAACTGTTAATGAAGCAAAACTCTATTAAATTTTATAAAGCAGGTCAGGATTTATCTCATGGTATATATAGAAGAGTGCTAACTACCTATTAATAAACAAAAATATTTATAAATAAACTAGAGTTTCAAAGATTCAATTAATATGTTTTTTTCTTTAGTTACTATAAACCTTGAAAAATAAGCATAGTACTCTCTACTAGTGTTTAGACTTAAGTGAGTCTTATCCAGGTCACCTAGGTTGAGTTGTAACAACACAGGTAATCAACCCATGGGTCAACCTGGGGTTGACTATGGGTTGATCCATGGGTTCATAGGTATAATTGGTTGATACTGAATAACTAATTTATATAGTCTAAAGTAGTTTTTAGAAATATAACGTTTCACTAACAAAAAATCATTATAAAACTCATTTCTAGCTTCTATATTCACTGTGCAAAAATAATCCAAAATAATTATTAAACCCTAGAATGTCATTTAGAAGTGGATGTTTTTACTATTTATTGATAATACTAGTTATATTAGATTAATGGAATAAAAATAAAATCTTTATTGAAGTTATTCTCGCTAATCTGACATTAAAAAAAATAGAGTAAAGAGTATTGTCTTATTTCTCAAGATTTATGGTAATATTCACAAAGCATTTTTTGAAGACAAGTGAAAACAATACTATCACATTTATTATACAATAAGCAGTTATTGTATATTGTTTTAGTAATACAAGATTAAAATACTAACAAAGCTGCATACAATATAATCCTTTAGAATACTCATAATACATAAAAAAAGTGTAAATTTTATTAACAGCAAATATTTTAGCATCAATATTTGGCATTATCTATATAATTAACAATACTTTTTTGCTAATTCTCTTAATGATATTTGCAAACCCACCTTTTGAATACCAAATATTAAAAATTGAATACTTGATAAATGAGGTATATGTTTCACATTTATTGCTTCAGCTTTAAAATTATTTAATTGTTCTAGAATTTTGCCTTCAGCTTTTTCTTCTATATCTACTTGTTGTAAAAATTCTTCAAGTGATGAGATTTGTTTATCATCATTAAGATTAATATAGATTGCAATGAATTATTTATATTAGATTCTAAAAATTGATTTACTGAATAATAATTCAGAGAAAAAAGTGAAAAAGGAATAAAATATAGATTTTGTAAAATAGAATTTCTGCCTATAATTCTACGTAGTTTTGGAGGAATTTTAAAAATTACATGTGGTGGTGAAGATTCAATAGTTGCCATACTATTCGTCTATAAAATATATAATTTATTTAGTAATTATTTTAAAATAGTTTATTATAATAATAGAAATTTACTACTGAGAAGCCCACGTAGAATAATGATTTCCATTAAGTTTAATATGTCTATTTTTAGTTGGCCAACAAGGTTCTTGACATTGATCACAATGTTGTCTACTATGAATAGTAAAAATAATTGTTACCATTTTTAACTTGTCTTTTTCAGCTTCGTAATCTGTTCTCTTTGGTTTAAAATTAGTATTTTGTTTAAATTTCTTTATATAATTAATTTCAGTATCAGAATCTGAATCTTTCTATTAATTAATAACTTAGTTAGTTAATATATATATATTAGTTTTAATTTATTTATAATTATCTTTCAAGAAACCTTTAACTGTTTTTTAAAACTAATTAAAACTTGTATATCTTTTTTATTAGTTTTTTCGTGATTATATTCTTTAATAAAATAATTAAAATCAATTTCATCAACAATTTGTATTCCTAGTCCAGTTTCTTTTCCAGTTTTATAAGCAATTAAAAATTTAGATTTTTTAATTTTATGATTTTCTAAGATTAACTGAACTTGAAGTTGAATAGTATTAAGAAAATCTTTGAATGAAATAGTTTGAATTTCTAAAATCTTTGTAGAAAATGCTTTTTATCTTTTCTTTTAACTAGTAATTTAAATTTCAATATATTTATTTCATTATCCCCTTCTTCTGTATCTTCATCATCTTCAGAAATAGAGATAGGTTCAGTATTATTAAATTCAAATATATATTATTCTTATCTTTAAAAGTATCTTATAAAAAATTTGATACAATATTATTAGATTTAGATCTATCTAATATATCTTCAAATAATATATTATTCTTATCATTAAAAGTATCTTGTAAAAAACTTGATTTAATATTATTAGATTTAGATCTATCTAATGTATCTTCTGTACAAACAAAATCTGTACATTCATTATCTTGTAAAGAATTTGATTGAGAATTATTTACAGAAATAAAAGTTTGATTTTCATTTTTTAATAACTTTGATTGAGTATTTTTTGCAGTTATAAAAGTTGTAGTTTCATTATTTTGTAAAGAATTTGATT